TATATATATATATATATATATTAAAAAATAATAATATTACATATACAAAAGAAAAAGCGCATAACTTCCTACAAATAAAATAAAATAATACAACTCAGGGAAAAAAAATACATTAATACTTCCACACATGAAAAAAAATAAAATAAAATAAAATAAAAATAGTAAACATTACAATTAATTACCCCTTTTTGCGTATCGTGCCATAATTTTATTTTGTTGATCATCGATTCATACTTTCATCGCCGATGTTGCAGCATCTTTTAAATTTTTTTCCATCATTGTCTTTCTCAAAGAACTTGCTCCCGCTCAATCTCCATCTTCTTAATTTCTTTTTGTACCTCAATCTCCTTTCATTTCTTTTTGCAGTTCAAACTCCAATCGCCGTGTCTGTTCTTGCTCCATGCCTAAATCGAATTTCGATTTCATTTTTAAAGTACGAGATTTGAGTGCTAAGTTGATCATCAACTTATATTGCTCAGCAAATCCTTGAAACGAAATTCAAAACCCAAACAAAGTTGGCGGCACGCATTTCCGGTCGCTTTAGAAAAATTCACAATTGAGCGGATAATGCTGATTTCAGGAGACATCTGATGAAATATTTGTGGAATCAATTTGGTGATGAATATGTTTAATTTTGGTATAATTGAATAAAATGTAATTTTTATATTATTATGCAAATTAACTAAATCATTACGTGATGAAGATGTTTAAATTTATTAATCGAATAAAATGTTATTTTTTATATTATTATGCAAATTAATTAAATTATTATGTAATAAATAAATAAATTAAATTAATAAGTCAAAAAGTACAAAAAAAAAATTTTTAAATAATTAATTAAATTCTTATACAAATTAAATTACTCTTTTTATTTATTTAGAAAAAAAAAAATGACTCTTTTTTTAATTAATTAAATTATGACTATCTTTAGATTAATTAATTAATACAATACACATACAATAATTATTTTACATATCATCATACAATATCGCTTTTTCATTTATATCATTATCACACACAATGACCCACAGCTTTAGAAGTTACTCCATTCCCCACGTATGATGTGGGGGCCACTTGTGTGTAATGTGCACGTTAAAGGCTTTCATTCCGGTATCAAATATTGTACACATTTGTCTTGCGTTGGGATTGCTCTAAGGTAAATTAGTCTCACCCATAAGGTGTGAGGATACCTACGTTGTGAAAAAAATAAAATAAGAACATACTCTTTGGAGTGATTAGTAAACTAAAAAACAATGAAATCTTGAGCTTCCAAAAGGCATGTGGAGATGGAGCCTCTGTCACCAAATTTGCCATGAATCAATGACCCCCAATCCTTTCAAGAGCATGAAGACTTGGGCCCACATTGATTCATCAATGAAGTAGAGAGGTACCCATACCAGCATTCATGTATTTATGGAAGCAATAGCTTTTTGATGTTTGGTGGCCTGAAATTCATCTTAATGGTGAATAAGTGAAGTTCGTCTAGAAATTGCAATATAACCAAGTTGAGCAAAAATTTCTTGTAAACTATAAGACTATAGACGATCCAAATCAATTCTCTCTAATAAATGAGCAGAGTTCTTTCAAGAACTATATGAATAAATGAACTTGGTTGTTATTAGAAGGATGTTAGTGCAATCTCAAAGCATAGAACTTAATTATTCAAGTTCAATCATAAGTCATTCTTGGTTGAATTTTATTGAAACTACATAAGTTCAATTATTCAACTCAATTACACGACTTTGCTTGCTTCATGTGCCTCCCCCTGCAATTCACTTTGGTAAACTCTCTAATCCAACATATTAGCATGATTAAAGGAACTTCAATCAAGCACCATAATCCATAAAGGACCTACACTTTGATTCCCCAAATGTCCTTTTTGTGTGTGTTCCCTGGCCCCAAACGCAATGCAACAAGAGAAGCTGCCCATCCATCAAAAAGCAACCACAACCATTCAAACAAATCAAATCACTGTCACCTTTTCATACTTCTTGATGGCCCAAATGCAACACAGATGCATCAAATCTAACAAAAACAATTCGTTCATCATGGCTTTCAGCCTTCTGAAAGACACAGGAAGCATCCCAAGCCCCCATCAAAAGATAGAGTTGCAAGATATGTTCATACACATACATATCCACTATCATTAGAAAGAAGAAAACAAATAAATACAACAAACTGATAAGGTGGGTAAGCAATAATAGCATTCATGAAAACATATACTAATGACAATGACCATCAACAAACAATCTTCAGTAGCCTTCTGGACATATATCTTTGGCCTCCCTTCATTCCTCCTTAAATGGCTCTTGGAATTAATCAGCTTCTTGGAATATCACTGTAGGTTAAAGTTATGATGTCCTTTTCACCATCTGCTTGGTTGACACTAGCTGAGACTTTTGGTGGGTATTGGAAAATGGAACCCCCTATCACCTTCAAGTCATACCATCATTTAGTAAATGACTCCAATACACCTATAATCAATCTAATAATAAGAATCAACGTTCAATCTTTCTTTCTTTCTTTTTTTTCTTTTTTTTTTTTTTAATCCAATCAAAAAACAACCAACAATCTTCAAAGAAGAGATCAATTTCCACTAACTAGGTTGATGACTTTTTTGTGAAGGGAAATGTAGATCAGAGTCACTCTGTGCATCTTCTCTTAGTGCCAACAGCAGATGCGTTTGTATTGTTTAATTGACCGTCATAAGCTAACAAGACTGCTGATAATAGATGGTCGATGATCCATCAAACTAATATCTGTATCCAAGAATTCAAAACAATAAACAACATAGCAACATCAAAATCCAAATTTAAATTAGTCTTCAGCATTGCTTAGATACCTTTTGTTATTACCCAAATGAGTTCATTAGCTATAGAAACCAACTCTTTTGGCTTGGACTCACCAACAAACTTGGAACTTAACACCCATCAACACCAAATCCAAATTTAACACCCATCAACACCAGATCTAACATAAAAGAAACATTCTACACCAAAATCAACACCCATCTCAACCACAAATTGCACAGATTTGAGAGAATTAGAACGGAAGCAAGATGGAACTTACCTAAGCCAGATGTGTAGCTGTTGGTTGAGCTTTGCAGAGCTGGAGCTATGAGATTTTGGCAGACCTGTGAGAGAGAGGATGTGAGAAAAAGAATAATATTCACTATTGTTTCAAATGGTTCGGTGCAGAGCCGCAGAGAGAGAACATGGAGGTAATACTCACTGCTGTGTTCCCTTGCTGTCGCCGGAGGTGGAGCTGTGAGGCCTTCAGTGGTCAAAATTGTTATGTTCTTTCTGTGAGAGAAATGGTGTTCTTCTGCACAAGTAATAAGGATATCAGATAGGGCACTGTGACGGGCAATAATGCTCTCTCCACCTCCACGTATTAAAATCATTTGAAAGAAACTTTTTTAAGATTTTATTTTTCTACCATGTGTTGTGGGTTGTTTTGGACCAAAACGAAACAAAAAGTTTCACCAAAACATGCTTTTGTTGTCATTTCTATGTTTTGCAACAAAACAAAGCATCCCCAAACAAGCCCTACAAACACTTACTTTGTTAAAGCATAAGGCTTTCCAAGTGCCGTCTTATACCGGAGGTCTATCTTCAGGTCAAACCCGAATTACAGAAATCAAGGCCACCAATTAGGAAAACAAATGTTGCAGGCAACATAATTCATTACATGATCAATTGTGCATTAGAATTGATTAACACCATCTAGAAACCGATGATTAAACAATTCAAACACAAGTATTTTACAGAAAAGATCAGTGATACAGATCAATACAAGTGATACATAATGGTCAAGTGTTTCTAATCAATCGAATATATTGATAAAGCTTAATAATCAGTTTATTTACCAATGTATATATACATGATTTATACATAGACATTCATGCCCAAGAAACATCTTGAGGTGAGACGAACCTGATTAAAGTAAAGGTTTGAGCCATAATTGCCGGTGCGTTCTTGACTCGCTTGATTGTGATTTGGGAAGAGTTATCGAGATTATCAATCACAAGTCACGACGGTTTTGTATCCACCCAACAATAGCTGAATCACTGTGTGGCTTCAATCTAGCCAGTACCACCTGTCATCAATATGTTCTTCGCCATAGCTGCAACTGACTGAACGATACCGAGATTATATATATAATTTGTATAAGCCTTTTATCCCGAATTATTGGGATGGAAAATTTGAGAGAGAGAGACAGAGAGAGAGAGAGTATTTTATACTATAGTTAAGAGGATCGACCCTCACTCTTCCTCTTACTTCCTTACCCAAACAGATCACCTGCAAACATATCACTCGTGTTCTTTCCCTGTAGCCAAACGAAACAAAATAAATGCGACCATAACATCTAACATCATCCCACGACAATGACCGGCGGCAAAACCCATTAATGATTATGAGCAGATCCCAATTTACTAACACAAGCTAAGTAACTAGCAGCAGAAATAAAACCATGCTACCATGACATTAGATCTCTTTAAAGGTTCTTTTTAAGTTCTGGAGACACATGAGCAGCTCTGGTTAAGGTCACTTTACACACAAGCTATTGAAAGCCACCAATCTTTAAAGAAATGCACCAGTATGAAACTAGCATTTGGAAAATGCATAAGGTTGTTTCTTCCACAGATTTGATTGGGAGTATACCAGGTACAATGTTTCAGAGGAATCTTTCACGATTAAACTACAAGATCCAATAATATTTAGAAGAGTACCTTTTCAGACATGTTCTAAACCTGTGTTGACAATATATTCATGGTCTCCTTTATATATGTATGTTTGCACTTTTTTTTTTTTTTTTTTTTTTTGACAAGTATATGTATGTTTGCACATTTACCAATCAGTAGTGAAAAGTTCCAAGGATTACAGCCAAATTCTAGAGATCAGTTTGATGAAATAAGAAGCTGAGAACAAACTATTGAGATACAACCACTGATATACCTCTTTATATTGAAATATACCACATCCCATTTGGATCATGAATGCATCAATAAACCAAATTGCATTTAGCCATAAATCAGACCATAAGCACTTCATATTGGTCAAGCAAAAGACTCATCAGTATAGTAAAAACAATGTGATGACAGTTACCAGGGGAAAATGAAACCTGTAACCTTCTGAGTGAGTACACAGCAGCACAATGTTGGCACCTAATTTTGTTTCTAAGAAGAGGGAAAATGAAAAATAAAACAAAAAACCCTACTTTGGGAAAAACGCACCTTTTTCTCCAGCTCAAACTCATCAATGAGGACAAAATACAATAGTAATCAATTAAAGACACCATGTCATCCAATACATCAATCCTCTGATACTGGCTTGACATCAGTCTCAGTATCTGCTTCATTAGCCATATCAGTACTTAGATTCTCAACCTTTCTCGTATCCCCTTCCACAGCATCCCCGTTAGAGAAATGATTCTTCAAAACAGTTGAAATGTCAGCCTCAGAAGCTCCGGCAAGCTTAAATCGCTCAACAGCAGCAGCTAGGTTCTTCCTCCAACCGCTCAATCCTAGCTTACATTCAACTTGGGAACGCTCAAAAAGCATGTTACCCCAGAATAAATGTATCTGTGATCTCATCACGGCTGCTTGTTCTGCAGCTTCATCAGCTGAAATCTCTCCTTGACCACCAATTGTAGAGGACTCGCCTTCAGTACCGCTTCCTTGTTTCTTCTTTCTTTTTAGCAATTCTTCCCTCTTGCTTGCACTTGGATCTTTTAACTCATTAGCTCTCTGCTCCTCTAGCTTTTCCCACATCTCAGTTGCAGCTCTCATTTTCTCCTCTGCACTGTCAAAAAGTTTAATCGTTTCGGTAGGATCCCATTTTGAAAGATCATCTTTTTTAGCAAGTACAAATGACCACTGAAGCTTTGCCATTTCAAATTGCTGCTGCCCCAATGCCAGTAACCCCTCATAAAAGTCCGGTTTAATCAAAAGAGCCTCCTCATACTTCTCTCTGGCCAGAGAATATTTTTCCTTTACCCAGCCATAAGCCGATTGAAGTTGCGTTGCGACTAACTCCTTTGCTGCAGAGTCATCTACCGGAATACGTTTTCTTGCTGCGCACATATGAACATTGCCCCAATTGAAGAAAGCCAATGCAGCCACCTCCTGGAACTTTAAGGCGGCTTTGTCAAAAAGGCTTTGAGCGTCTTCACTGGTCACAGTCTCTTCAAGGGCTTCAGAACACAGTTCCATTCCAAGTTCATGCAGATCAATATGGGCATCTGGGTCAATACCAACATGAGTCCGGAACAATTGAGCAAACTCGAATAACCAATCATCCATCTCCACTTCCTTGCACTCAGGATCTTCTCCAGCTCCTGATTTCTCCTTTGGAGATTCTTTCTCTGTCTTATCAATCTCAGCACCCGCAGTTTCCAATAAAGAGTCACCAACTGAAGTATGGGATCCACTGTCATCTACCTTGACCTCCTCGTTCTCAAGAGGAATCTCTTCCTCTTCTTCCAATAAAAGTGGCTCCTGCTCAGGACTCACCTCAACAATATGCAATCTCAACATCCCAATTGAGTCGGACTTATCTGTTTCAGGTTCTTTTGGCATAAGGCTGTCGACATAGGACTCTGCCAATCTGAGTTCACCAGTACACGTTATAGTCACCAAGTCACCATCACTATCCTTGTACTTGATCAAAACTGATTTTGATGACGGAAAGCGTTTGCTAACCATCTCCCTCAACACCCTAAAACCACAATTTACTGGCATCTGAGAAAGCCTTATGTCATGATCATAAACAAGCTTCAATGGTCTCCATCGAACTACAGTTGTAGAAGCGTGGCTGTGAATGGGCAATGATACTGATGAAGATGATGGATGTTCCCTTTGGTTATCCTTACTTGGATTGGCATTGGGTCTGGAAGAGCCATTTGAAGGCTTCAAAACAACTTTTGGCAATTGGGTTCTGACCTCATGGCGATTTTCAGTGGGTAGAATTGGTTTGGGCTTATCTGGTTCATTATTAGGCGATCCAATTGATCCCACAGCTGAGGCCGCTGCCTTCTTTGGCACCGGCCGAGCTGGTAAACACGGTCCAAGGCCAGCGATTGGGGCACCACGTACGGCAGATGCCCCAAGGGCTGCTGGCGACGGGCGGCTCTGAAGGTCCTGCTGAGCCTCCTGGCGAGGCCCGAGTGCAGTTCTTAATCGCCCAGAAATCTCCAGTGCATCCCCATGATTCGGATCAGCACTCAACAGTGCTTGCACATCTTGCATCGCCATTTCATACTTTCCTATTGCCTCAAATGCCCGAGCCCTCCGAAGAAGGGCCCGAACAAACTGGGGCTGAACCTGAAGCGCCATAGTACACTCAGCAATCACAGTTTCATAGTCTATGGGCTTCATTTGCATCAAACAAGCCGCCCTATTGCTATGGAACACCGCCCGGTCTGGGTGGATTTTGGGGGTGAGTTTAAGGGCACTATCATATTGTTCAAGTGCACCACCATAGTCTTTGGCTTGAAACCTTCTGTTTCCTTCTTCTTTGAGCTCATGAGCTCTTTTCAGGAAAATGGATGATGAGTCCAAATCAACACCACCGTTAGCATTTCGGATTGGATTGTTATCTCCCGAAACTTGGTTTTGGTTAACACCGCCCTTCTTTTTTCTACCACCAGATTTCCCCATATAATTATCTCACCCCCACTAAAAATTACAACCTTGAACTAACAAATAGCAATCTTAAAGTTTGATCAAATAAAGTTTGTTTGGGTGAATTTGAGATTCTTTCAAACAAACAATGAACCAGATTGATAGAGAAAAGGGCTACTTACAAATAACAAATTCACTCCTTTGATGTTGTTTGATTGGACAGTGAAGACCCAGAAGCTGGATTGGATTTACTGGGTCTCTCTGTCTTCAGGAAATGTTTTGAGAGCAGAGTCGAGAGAGAGAGGGGGGGAAAGTGGAGGGATGTGGAAGCAAAAGATAGGGTTTTTGGAAAGCGTATGAAACCCTAGATAGGATGTTTAGTCTATATTAGATTCAACATCAAGTTTGACCCCACACTTTGTCATGAAGCATTTGATCTATAAAGACAGCATACATCACCGTCCATCTAATCCTTATAATAGAAAATCATTAACGATTCAACATCATGGATGGCTCACGAAAACCTATCTGAACCACTGAATCCTACCCTCTATTTTTGAAAATCATTAACGATTCAACGTATCTCAACCAGTGCAACTTATAGACCAGAAAACACTTTTAAGAAATAATTATATCATATTCATTTTTTTTTTAAAAACAAATGTAGTGTATTACATGTTTTTTTTTTTTTTTTTTTTTTTTAACCATTTACAAGACTCATTACAAATAAGTTACTTGAAAGTAAAGAATGAAAGGATAATTTCACCTTTCATAAAAAATTTGAATAAATTTAGGAAAATTCAGCATTGAACAAGTTTATTGAAACAGAAAAAACATGAAAAGATAAAGTTTGGACTGAAATTGGAGTATTTGTTAAAAAAGAATTTAAAAAATAGTCATTTTGTAAATTCATTAAAAATTAGTATGGCTTCAATATTCTTTATTTATTTGGATGGATTTCGTACAGATTTGGTTATGATTTCGAAAATATGGCCCAAATTTTTATTTCTTACATGTGACTTGCGAATTACAAGACTCATTTAACTTGTTCCAATAATTAAATTATTATTTTTTATAATGGATGAAATTGGATTTTGATAGTAATTTCAATTATAATGATTAGAGTGTGAAAGTACAATTTTGTTTTTCTCTTTTTCTTTGTTTTCGATTTACAGGTCACGAAATCAAGTATAAGAATTTTGTACAGAAAAAAGTATATTTATGCAGTTCATAGAGAACCATGTCAGTTCTGGAAGATCCAACTTTGGATTGGACAAGTGAGTACAAATTAAATAAAATTTAAAAATAGTTTTCATATTCTAATTAATTTGGATGAATTTAATAAAGGTTTTGGTGTAATTTAAATAAATTCAAGAAGAGGTGATCAAAGATTAATTTTTTTCCAAAATTTAGCCAAAATTGGAAGAATAATTTTAAATAAAATTTGAAATAAATTTCCAATTTGACTAATGATTCATGCCATTAGAACCTTTAATGAGGATAATACGCATTACTCTAATCCTTTCTCTAACAAAACAGACTTCTGCACCACCCTTAATTAAGTGCTCATTAAGCAGTGAATTGATGTGTTGAAAATTGTTGATATATTATAATATCTAGACTTCATAGAATTTAGTTTATGGACAAAGAGTTTCAAAAAATTCCACATATCTTACTTGACATAACCTTCTATTCTACTCTTTTAGATTTCGTTTCAAATATGTTATTTGATTTAATTAAATTTGTTAGGGACATTTTTGTTATAAAATAATAATAATAAGTAATATAATTTTAGACATTTTTCATATATATATATATATATATGAAACTTGAATCTCCCCGATAATTTTTCTCCTTGAGTGTTTGGAAACTATCAAGTTTGATGTATTGCATTATGCTGTTCTCATCACTCACCCGTGTGTGATATAGAAGGTTAAATAAAGTTAGAGCTCCAAGATATATTGATATGTAACCTGATCATTTATGTAATTACTTCTCTGCGTAATTAAATCAAAACAAAAATAGTGATTTGAAATATTCTTAACCATTGAATAATTTGAAAATATTTAAAAAAAAAAAAACTAGAAGAGTGAAAGTTTCAAGGGTATTTTTTATTTATTTTTTATTATTTTTTGATATTTAATAATCAAAATAACTTAGACATTTTGTGTTTAAAAATATTTACTTACTTATTTAATACCTAATTCATTTATGACCTATTATATTAATGAGTTATTGACCTATTACTAACTATTACTAGCTTGTACATTCATAATTAGTTCAAAATTTGCCTAATTGTCATCCCTAAATGAAACTAGCTGTGTAGCCTTGAATTTTAGGTACGGCTTTATACAAATGCTCAATATAATTAAATTTACTTTTAACAAGTTGAATTTTAAAAAATAAATAAATTTAATTGAGTTAAAAAATTACAACGCACGGTATGTCAAAATATCGTGAAGCCTTTTGCAAACACCCCAGTGGAGTACTCGTGAGTGGCTCGTACCCAAACAGGCCTTTTTTCCAAATGTCAGCAACCATACTTGAAACTTGGTAGAAGACAAGAGGTTGATAAAAACACAGGTTGATAGAAAACAGTTTGTGTCAACCTCAACAATCATGACACGCATCTAAGAGCCCCTAAAACCAAAATAGTCCAAAACCTCTACCACCTATCATTGTTATACACATACACTACTAAAAAGTAAGACACCTGCCAATTGAAACTGTACCAAACACCACCCCAATACCAAACAGTATAGTAGCTACGTGTTCTGTGTTGATCAAATCGTGTCTCTCAACGGCCTCCAAGTGAAAGTGGACTAATTCTTAATGTCTCTCACATGTTGCTTGTGGGCAATCATGTTCAATTTATTGAGTGGGCGGTGCAAGTAATATATTTAATTTTAAAGGACAATTTAGTAATTTTAAAAAACAAATATATGTATATATATTTTTTGATGAGTTTTAAAAAACAAATATATTCAAATTTTAAAAGATAATAGAAATTTTAAAAGCAAATAACAAAATAATTTGTTTTTGCTCGAGTGGTTAGGTTGTTTCGCGGGGAGTTTGTTTGTATTTGAGATTTATATTCTCTCCTTTTCTGTACCATCTAACCCTATATATATATATATATATATATATATATATATATATATATATATATCTATACTATTATTAAATGTGCAAAGTGTTTCAGTATTTCAGTATTTATTTATTTATATAAAAAAAATATTTATTAATTGATATAAAAATAGTTTTTGTAAAAATAGTTTCTATAAAACTTTAAAAATTACCTAATAATATCAATCACTTTCTATATAAAACTCTTATTTTTAGTTATTTTTTATGAATAATTATAATTTCTATAAAATTCTAAAAATTACCTAATAAAATCAATCACATTCTATATAAAACTCTTATTTTTAGTTATTTTTTATAGATAATTATCACAATATAACCGGCCCGGCCCAATTATGATTATGTCATTATCATAAAAGGACACATGTCATCATCATATTCATCCAAGAAGCCTATAAATGGAGGCATGGAGGAAGGAGGAAGGAGTACAGAAATTGAGAATTCTAGAAATCCAGAATTCCAGAGTAAAATATAGAAACTCTGCCAAAGAGTTTCAGTATTTCAATATTTATTTATTTATATAAAAAATATTTATTAATTGAGTTGAATTTTGAGTAAAATATAAAAGCTTTGTCAAGAGTTTTCAGTATTTATTTATTTATATAAAAAAATATTTATTAATTGATATAAAAAGAGTTTTTATCTATATTATTATTAGATGTGTAAAGAGTTTCATTATTTATTTATATAAAAAAATATTTATTAAATGATATGAAAAGAGTTTTTACTAAAAAAAAAAAAAAAAATTTCTATAAAACAGTAAAATCTACATAATAAAATTTAAATTAACCTATTTATCTATTTATTATTATCCATTTTTAATAAAAGAAAATCTAATTAGACAAAATTTACTAATATAAAAAATATTTATTAATTGATATATAAAATAAAATAATTTTTATAAAACTGTACCACAAATTAGCTTTTATTACGAGTATCTTAATAAAGTTAAAACTAATTAGACTAGTATATATTTAAAAAAAATAAAATAATTTCAATAAACTCTATTACAAATTACCTATTTTATTATCAATAAAACTCTATTAACAAAGATATATTTAAAGAGTTTGTATAAAACTCTAACACAAATTACCAATTTATCAAGTTATCATGAGTTTTTTAATAAAATGAAACCTAATTAGACAAATATTATTAATATAAAAAATTATTTATTAACTGGAGGTTTTTAAAACACAAATTACCTATTTATCTATTTATTTTGAGTTTTTTTTACTAAAAGTAAATCTAATTAGACAAGAATTATTAAAATAAAAAAATATTTATTAATTGATATAAAAAGAGTTTTTAAAAGAGTTTATATTAAACTCTAACACAAATTACCTATTTATTTATTTATTACAAGTTTTTTAATAAAAGAAAATCTAATTTACCTAATAAAACCAATCACATTCTATATAAAACTCTTATTTTTAGTTTTTTTTTATGAATAATTATAGTTTTTATAAAAATCTAAAAATTACCTAATAAAATCAATCATATTCTATATAAAACTCTTATTTTTAGTTATTTTTTATGAATAATTATCACAATATAACCCGGCCCGGCCCAGTTAAGATTATGTCATTATCAGAAAATGATACATGTCATTATCCTTTTCATCCAAGAAGCTTATAAATAGAGGCATGGAGGAAGGAAGAAGGGGTACAGAAATTGAGAATTCTAGAAATTTAGAATTCCAGAGTAAAATACAGAAGTTCTGCCAAAGAGTTTCAGTATTTATTTATTTATATAAAAAAATATTTATTAATTGATATAAAAAGAGTTGAATTCCAGAGTAAAATGCAGAAACTTTGTTAAAGAGTTTGAGTATTTCAATATGTGATACCCCTCGGATCCGAGACACGGGTTGATCAGGCCTAGGCCCAAACCCGAGGGAATATCAAACAATTAAAGTATTTTAAAGCGAACACAGATGACAAAATGAAACAAAAGTGATGGAATAAAACTGAAAGTAACATTAATTATAAAATCCTCCATGTATAACTAAAAATTGAAAATCCAATCCTCCAAAACTTCAAGGTTACAACTTGGGAATCCACTGATGGACCCCTAACCAAAAGTTCAACTGAAACTGAAAACTGAAAATAGATAATGCTAGAAACATCGAGAGAAGTCCTACGTATTCAGACGAAAGTGAGACTGTCCTCGACAAGCACGATCAAGCTCTAAGGCTGGAACCGTCCTGTACCTGAAAAGAA